TGTGTGGCGTGTGTGGTGTGTGTATGTGGTGCGTGTGTGGGGTATGTGTGTGTGTGTAGTGTGTGTGTGGTGTGTGTGTATGGTGTGTGTGTGGTGTGTGTGTTGTGTGTGGTGTGTGTGTGTAGTGTGCGTGTGTGTGTGGAAGTGGGATGTGGTGGTTGAGGGTATCTTTAAAGATTTGTCATGAAAAGATTTTTGACTTATATAAAAAATTATGCCTACATGCAAGGGATGCAGATGTAGCCTCGCTAATGATTCTTAAAAGCATGCGCTCAATGATTCACAGAAAATGATAGAAAAAAAGCTGGTCTTAGAAGATCTCAACAAGCATTTGTGGAGATCAAAACAGATTTTCTTTTGGATTCTCTATACATATTAGACTTGAATTCTTTGGCTTGTCATGGCCTGTATCACATTATTCATATTCTTTGTATCCATGAAAGTATACAGAGAAAAATTTCTGGCAATTAAATTTCAATTTTGTAATTAATGATAGCTTATATTTACAGAGGTCCTACTGTCACTGAATAAAGTATATACAGCATCTTACATAATCCTCACATTTCTGCCCCACCCTTTGCAAAATGAGAAAATTGAAACAAATATTAAGATACTTTGCTCAAGGGCATGCATGGAGTATAAATTTGGTATTTGAACTCTGGTTCTCTGACTCCAGACCTCACATCTTAATCACTCAGCCAGTAGTTCTCACACTTCATTGTGCATCAGAATCACCTAGAGGGCTTGTCAAATCACAGATTGCTGGTCCCTACCTCAGGGTAGGTGAGGACCACCCTGGGAGGTCTGGATTGGGTCCTAAGTATTTACATTTCTAACAAGTTTCCAGATGGTGCTGATGCTACTGGTCTGGGAACCATACTTTAAGAACCACTGAAATAAGATAAACTGCTTCTCTTCTATGATTTTTTTTTTTTTTTTGCTATGATTAGAATGATCCAATAATCAGTACGGTTTGAAAGAAGCCACCAGAACACAAGATTCAGTGAAGAAAAAGGCCAATAAGAAAAGATTACATTAAAATCCAAATGAAAGGGGGGCTTCCTTGGTGATGCAGTTGTTAAGAATCCGCCTGCCACTGCAGGGGACACGGGTTTGAGCCCTGATCCAGGAAGATCCCACATGCCGCGGAGCAACTAAGCCTGTGCGCCACAGCTACTGAGCCTGTGCTCTAGAGCCCACATGCCACAACTACTGAAGGCCGCGTGCCTAGAGCCCATGCTCTGCAACAAGAGAAGCCACCACGATGAGAAGCCTGGGCACCGCAACAAAGAGAAGCCCCCGCTTGTGGCAACTAGTGAAAGCCTGCGCACAGTAACGAAGACCCGACACGGAAAAAAAAAAAAAAAAAAGAATCCAAATGAAAGGAGGTAAATAAATTACAAAGGTGATGACTCTTCATTGCATGAAGAATAAAACCAAGACTCTGCAGCCAATATTCAAAGTCTTTCATAATTCAATCCCAAACTTCTAGACTAAGACTTCTAGACTAGTCTAGCTTCTAGACTAGTCTAGCTTCTAGACTAAGCTTCACTCATCTGTGCTTGGTCATCCAGCACCTCTCTGATCTCTCACCTTGTCTACTAAAGCTGCTTCCTTTGACTGGAAATGCTTTACTCTTCTGTCTGTCAAAGCTCTAATTGAGCGTCAGGACTTAGTCCAAATATTTCCTTTCCTAAAAATGCCATCCAAGTCTTTCTTGATTTCTACTTCTTCCCTCCAACATTCTCCCCTGTATCATAAGAGTTATTTGAGTTGCTCATATAACAATGGGCCCAGGAAGAATTGTGTGTTTTTTAACTGCATCATAATAAAGCCTTATTCACATTTGTTTCTCATAGGACCTAGGGCTCTGCTGCATCCTGGCAGTTGCTCAGTGAGGGCGTCATCAAATCGAAGTTATTAAAGAACTTTGTTAGAGTCACCAATTCAGGTATATGTTTGCCTTATCAGACAGTATGAGGACCCCAAAATTGTAGATAATTGTGTAAGGTAGAATTTGTTTCAACCATGAATGACAGTGACTCAAAAAATAATGACTTAAAATAACAAAAGTTCACTGACTGGGGGCTGTCAGTCCATGGCTGGAATAGAGGTCCCACGACTATCAGAGACTCAATCTCCCTCCGTAATTCCATCCCTATGGTGTTATATCTTAGTCAGCTCAGGCTGCTACAA